TACGTGGATGGCTGAGATTTCATCCCAGAAAAGGATGGAATCCACTAACCAAAACCACGGGCCGGAAAGGTAAAAACCATGGGCGGAAAGGTGGTGTATCACCTTTATCCGTACCCACTCACACACATAGTGGCTACGTGGCCGACAGAATAAACTTATTGCGGGCCCACTACAGCTCCGCATGATGCTGACTTAAAATACTTAATACATACGAAAACACATATATACACGAGAAAAGACTTTATCGAATATACACCCTGGAAATTAAACTCCTTTTTCCAGGGCTTGATACACAACTTGTGCGGTGACACTGATGAGGCTGCTGAGACGGTTGTCCATCGTTTTGACATCCGGGAGAATGTCACTCCATGCATTGTCCTTGCTAGAGTTGCTCTTGCAGTAAGCAACTTTATTTTCATATATCCTTTGAAGAACACGAAGTTCTTCAAGCACTTTGTTGGCTTGTTCTGATTCAATCCTTCTGGCAGCTCCTCTGAGTTTGTCATGAGCATCTGCTGATATTGGGAAGTCGAAAGTTTCCCATAATAATTCCCAGTGAAGGTCACTGGCATCTTTGGGAATATTTGGGATATCAAAAGAACTAGGCTGACTTCGATTGAACTCTTTTCTCCTATTTTTCTGTTGCTGCATCCATTCGTGTCGTAGCTCTTGTTGTTCAAGGCGTTTGTCAGGAATGTTGTGATTCCACCGACGATCTTGTATCCCTTTTCTTGTCCACTGATAAGTATTTGATCCGATTTCTGAGTATTCATCTTCTCGAACGGGATTCTTCCCTTTGGAATTTGAGCTTCGTGCGTCCATTCTTTTCCTGTAAATAAAGATTTAGCAATCTCCTCTTGTCCTGTAATTAAAAGATATGTTAGTCGAGATAATGAGTCGGCAAGAACATTGTTCTTTCCGTCTATATGTTCAAAGTGAACAACGATCCCCAATCCGTTGATGAAATCAGTGAAAGCAAGCCATCTGACCCTAGATGGTTTATTCTGAGCTGTCTTATTATAAAAAGATATTATAGCTTGGCAATCTGTTCGCAGAATTATCTCTGATTTATCAAGATAGTGAATTTTTAAAGAGTTTAGACTTTCCATACAAGCATGAATTTCTGCATCGATAGTAGATTTTATCGTTGAGAATTTTCCACTTGCATACGCACATATTCTTTCAGAAGATCTGGGATCATTTTTAGCCATCTTCCATTTACATATTCCTCCCCATCCTTCCATGCACCCATCCGTTTCAAGAATAATATAAGCATTTTCAGGAGGAATTTCTAAATCAGGCAATTTTTGTACTAACTCTTTGATTTTTCTAATAAGCTCCCAGTCATGATCCTTTAATCTCTTATCTCCATGAGGAGACGTCTTCTGATACAACGGTCCGAGAAGAGTTCCCAAATTTGGGATATAACTTCGGGCGTAATTAAGAATTCCAAGCCATGACCTCATTCCCTGTTTTTCCTTTAATTTTTCATTAGGAAAATTGGCTATTTTCCTAATAATATGTGGTTGGAGTTTTATCCTTCGTCGTCCAATGACAGCTCCCAAAAATTCAATTTCATTGACTGCTATTTTCATTTAAAATTTCATTGACTGCTATTTTCATATAACTGGTGATAAATAGATTGAATGATGGGTAAGGCAGAGCTTTACGATTTGAAATTCCACAGTTAGGGTACTCCATAATTTACACTACCAAATGTCAAGTTAATTTAAAATATTTTACAAAAAATGTAGAACTAGAATTAATTTGCATTAAAAAAGCATTTATAGTTTCAACCATCATACAAGTAAACATCCAAGTCCGCTAGGAGAAGACTGGTGTCAACCCCTCGCACAAATAGAAAACAAGTATTTCACATAAAAATTTTTCATGATATATTTTTTCTTAAATCAGTGATTCTGTCAATGACAAAATAGAAAATAGCAATAATGCTAATAATTTTTACCTTCATTGGTGGGTATTTTGAAAAAGGAGCATGACCATGGGCCAACTCAAGTGCAGTAATTCCAAATGACCATATATCAGCTCTGTCAAACAATGACAAAACGGACAAGATTCAGAACCATGTTCCATTCAAATGTTACAAAGCAAAATGGTGGTAAGGGAAAGAACAATAAAGAGGAGTGTCATAGTAAGCTACATTTAATAAATATGAATCTCTTATCTTACTAAAAAGGCTAGATTGCATCCATTAGAGATAGGGAACAATGTACCATTCTAAAGTTGAAGAAAAAACAACCGACCAAGTTTCTCCATCAAGTTCAACTATGGAAATACAGCTAATCTTTGAATATTACATGTTCAGGAAAGAACTTGGACAAGTTGATAACAAACGGCAGCCGATAACAAAGAAATCATATTCCTCATAATTTATAATATTTCATTCACAAATCTGCCACCGTTTTTGTTCTCCAGAAAAACAAGATGTTGGAAGTACGCTACAAGCATGCATATGAAATGTTCTAACTGCAAATAAATGGGGCCAGGACATTGAGGAAGAGTTTTTTTAGGATTCAAGTATTTTTGGCGATTATAACCAATATTCAAACTTCGTAGATCTTATTTCCAATAATTTATGGAGTGCTTTTCAAATTGAACTTCCTAACTTTAAATGCTGCTATGGATCTACGAACAAAATCAGGGAGGGAGTCTCCAATGATTATTTAAAGAGATCATGAAGTAGCATTTTTCAAATATTCAGCTAGAAGTTATATTAAAAAATAATTTATTTCAATTAGAAGTTATGAGAATTAGATTTATTTCCTTTCCTATTTTAGATTTATTTTCTTGAATTGAATTTATTTTCTTTCTTATTTTATGAGGCTTCATTTAACTCCAAATAATTAATATAAATTGATTAATTTGAGATATTAAGTGTTATATCTTTTCTTTCCTGTCATTTATTTTTTATTGTTTTTTCTATTCTAGGATTCATGTAAGGGTTATTTATACTCCTTTCATAACAATAAAAATATTCCGCATTATTCTTAATTTCAACATGATATCATAGCCAGAAAAAAAAACCTAGAGTCTCTTGCCGGCAGAAACTTCTTATTCTCTGCAGCAGGCAATCTTTGTCATGCTGCAGACCTTTCCTAAGATCGAACCCTAGTTGTTGTAGAGGCATCTACCCAGTCGTCGACATTTTCCCTGCAGTTTTGTTTTTCCATCTCAGGCACTCCCTGTAGGTTTTTCTTCTATCGTTCAGTTGTTGACTTCCCTGCAGGCTTTCCTTCTGTCGGGTTCCTGAAGATTCAGTCGTTGGACCTTCCAGTAGATGTTACCTGCTAGTCCACCGCCAGTTGCCTTTCATCCGGTCACAGGCAAATGTTCCCTCTTTCGCTATATTCTACAAGTAAAAAATGGCTGGACTTGCACCAGAAGGGTCTCAAATTTGATGATCAACAATACGGCACAAAACTGAATGAGTTGCTTATGGGTGATGGGCAAGACTTCTTTACAACTTATGATGTGGTTTATGAAAGCTTTGATTCCATGGGCCTTGGAATTTATGGTCATGTCTTGGAAAAGCCTTTGCTATTCAACAAGGGGTGATTGCTCCTTTCTGCAAGGGTTTGGATATTATTCAACAATCATAACCTGGGACAAGAAAGACGGCGACCTTTTGTTCTAGAATTCTGTAGCAACTCAATTATGGTTTAGATGAATGTCAGGCTTTGGTTCTTGCTCCTACGAGGGAAATGGCTCAACGAATCGAAAAAGTTGTGCGAGCACTTAGTGATTACCTCAGTGTGAAGATTCATGCTTGTGTGGGAGGGACGAGCACTAGGGAGGATCAGCGGATACTTTCTAGCGGTGTTTATGTAGTTGTTGGCACGCCTGGCCCTTTGTTTGATATGTTAATGAGGCAGTCTCTTCTTCCTAATTACATCAAAATGTTTGTTTAGTATGAGGTGAATGAAATGTTGTCTCGTGGGTTCAACAATCAGATATATAATATCTACCTATGTAGATTTCAGGCAGCTAGACCTCTTCCCTGCAAGTCCCTAACAACCGGAAATCATCTCTGTCGACTGGAAAACTTACTTCCAGACATTACCAGCACCTTCTAGCGGGCCTCAAATTCCTGCAGCCGCCTCTATAGCGTCCCCCGCCTTTTCACATGCATGGATTATGGAAACAAAGAGAAGCTTGTTACAGAGTTCATTTCTGGTTTGCTTTCAAAACGACTTGAGAGAGGTTATTATAGAGCTAAGACTGGATGTATCTGAATGGAATTCCAGCAGCCAGCCTGCATGCCCTTCTCCGTCATTTCTTCCCTACTACCCAAAAACTCCATACAAGTCCTTCTCTGTCTTTCCTTTGCCACTGGAACTCTCTCTGCAGCCGAAAGTATCCAGTTGTATGCCCTCATCAATGCAGAGCCTCTTCGTCCGGAGCATTTTCCTTGCAAAAAGCCCTCCTCCGAAAATTTTTTCCTATATAAGACCCTCCTCCAGAGTTTTTGTTGCAGTAGATCCTCCGCCAGAATCCTTCCTGCAGCAGAACCTCCTCCGGGATCTTTTCCTACATCAGGCCCTCCGAAGCTTTTTATTGCATCAGGCTCTCCTCTAGAGTCTTCCCTGCATCCAAAGATTGTCCTGCAAAGTTGGGGGAGTTAAAAATTGACCCGACATGCCAACAGGACTAGAACTCCACTAGAAAAATATGAGTTAGGGTTAATCCAAATATTTTTCGAGTCAGATCCAGATTAGAGAATTCAACCAATTTATTATTCGGGTCGGGTTCGGGTTAACGGGTCAACGTTAGATATGGGTCTTAGTTTTCGACTCGTTTATTATTCGTGTCGAGTTCAGGTTGACAGTCTTTTTCGGGTCGAAATTGAACCCGAACTGACATCCTCCGGAGCTTTTTTCTGTATTAGAACCTCCTCTAGAGCTTTTCCGAAAACAAGGCCTACCTTCGAAGCATTTCCTCTTTTTGCAAGCCATAACCTGCTGATTTTCCTATTGGTTGTCTATTTCTCTGTACACTCCCTGCAGTATTACATGTAAGAGTCTTCTACCTACCTACAGACACAGCAGGGACTGCGGTCAAAGACAATCACAATCAACTAGAAGTCAGTTTTTCCTACAGATTGTCTACTTTCATGTAAATTCCACTGTAGCATTACCTATAGGAGTCTTCTGTCTATCTACAAACACTGCAGGAAATGCAGTCAAAGACAACGGCAGTCAACTAGAAGTCAGTTTTTACTGCAGGTTGTCTACTTCTCTGCAAAACCCACCTGCAACATTACCTGTAGGAGACTTCTGCTTACCTACAGACACTGCAAAAATTGCAATCAAAGACAGCCACAATACAGGATGAAGACTTCAAGTTCTACTTCACAATATCTTCCTCGCTCATTGTTTGATGTTTTTAAATCTAAGTTGAACATGGTTTACAATCATGCTATAACTTGAGGGGGAGTGTTAGAAGTTAATAATTTGTTTCTATTAAAACTTATGAGGATTAGATTTATTTCCTAATATAATTTTATTTCCTAATATAATTTTATTTCCTTTCCTATTTTAGATTTATTTTCTTGGATTAGATTTATCTCCTTTCGTATTTTAGGCTTTTCTATTTTATGACGTTTCCTTTACTTCAAATAATTAATATGAATTGATTAGTTGGAGATATTAGATTTTATAACTTTCCTTTCCTGTTTTTTTTTAATTTATTTATTATGAATCCTATTCTAGGATTCATGTAAGGGTTATTTATACTTCATTTCATATCAATAAAAATATTCTACATTATTATGAATTTCAACATATATCATTATCAAAGATAAAATAGGTGGGTTAAGCGGGTAAAAAGTAGAGTAAAAAATATACTAATAAAGATGGCAGAATGAATAAAAGTGAAATAGGAACTGGGGCAGGACAAAGTAACTTGACTAAAATTTAATCTACAGTGGACACAGCATGCAGAACCTAATAAGAATTTGCAAAAAATTCATATAGTTGAGCCCAACTAGTAGATATTGAAAATGATGATGATAATTTTCAACTTAACCCCTGGTACTATGTACCTTCAAGCTCACTACCTGTGCAGGTAATGTTTTTAACAAGCCACCAAGTAATATATTTTTCCTCTGTTCATCCAAGAAACAATTAGAGAAAAACCTAACCACAATAGAATCGATGTCACAGACAAAAGGTGTCAAAGAGAAGCATGCAAGGTATAGGAGAAACATTCATATGCATTTTATTATTCGTCAGACAAGTACTAATACGCATGGTTTCTAGACTCCTAAATGTCACAAAAACTCACTTAAAATCATATCCACCTCCTGGCTGCATCACCTCTGGTGCCATCCTATCAAAACAAATCACAATAAATTTGTTGCAATTGCTCAAAAGCAACCTACCTAATAAAGATATAAGAGCAGAAAAAAAAAATATTTGCCTCTTACCAACATGGTGTACCTACAAAAGTATTCCTTGAACGTTGTCTATCACCCTTATCAAACATACCAGCAGTTACACCGAAATCACTAAGCTTTACAGCACCAGAGCTATCAAGGAGGATATTCCCAGCCTGCACTTCGAGATTGCCTCAGAAAAGAAACACTATACGACATATAACATGTATTACCATAGTGTTTCAATTAAGAACTAACCTTTACATCTCGATGAATGATCCCATGTTTATGAAGGTATTCCAATGCTTTGAGAGTTTCCTTGAGAATTGACCCAATAGCTTGTTCTTCAAACCCATTAGGATATGCAACTTTCATCAGATGAAAACTTGAACCCTCTGTCATGAATGGCATAACAATCCAGAGAGAGCGTTCAACAACAAATGAGCAACATCCTTTCAGCAAATTTGGGTGATCTATCAAACTCATTGTTCGAGCTTCCCTCCTGATGTCATCCTAGCAGCAACAATTTTATCACAACTAACGATAAATTTGGCAGATCAAAATACCTCTATATGGAGAAAAGCTCTATAAACAAATAAAAGTACTTACTAAGGACAAATAAGATGATATTTGATCAGGAAGAGAGGTAACAATTTGCGTTGAACAAGAAATTTACCAATAATCTTTTTCAAATCATAACAGTCCATACAACCTAAAATATCTAATGATAATGCTACATTGATGCCAAGGTACACGCAGATATATGCTTAACCTTATTTTTATTTTCAGTAGTAAATGCTAGTTGTCAGAAGATTTCCTAAACTTGGTTGACTGTTTAGGCTGTTAACAACTTGATCGATCAAAAAATGATAAAATTCCTGAGCCCCGATACATGAGAGATTGAGACTTTTTTCTCAATATAATGTGCAGTTAATGAGATTTCACCTGATATTGGTTCGTATTACTTTAGACTTGATTAAGGGTCTCGCTGTGAGTGCAGGCTCCAAGGTCAATTACCTTATTTGAGGACGAGAGAATTCTAAATTAAGCAGTTCATTTAAAGCTAAGGTTTAGGAGACTATTGCTTATGCAAGACTTAGTTATAGCTACAAGGAAGGATTATCCTGTTAAAATTCAATGGTTCCATGCAAGACTTAGTTATAGCTTAACCTTGTTTTTATTTTCAGTAGTAAATGTTAGTTGTCAGAAGATTTCCTAAACTTGGTTGACTGTTTAGGCTGCTAACAACTGATCGATCAAAAAACGATAAAATTCCTGAGCCCCAATACATGAGAGATTGAGATTTCTCAATATAATGTGCAGTTAATGAGATTTCACCTGATATTGGTTCGTATTACTTTAGACTTGATTTCTCTGTGAGTGCAGGCTCCAAGGTCAATTACCTTATTTGAGGACGAGAGAATTCTAAATTAAGCAGTTCATTTAAAGCTAAGGTTTAGGAGACTATTGCTTATGCAAGACTTAGCTATAGCTACAAGGAAGGATTATCCTGTTAAAATTCAATGGTTCCATCAAACAAAGTTTTCCAAGATAGTTTATGATTATAGGGAGCCTTGTTTGTGCCATAGATTTTGCATTAGCAATAATGGGTTACCACATCCAAGAAGCTTCCCAAAGAACTAAAGGCTCCGGGAATTTTGGTTAGTTAATGTTGGCAAGCTTAAAAAAATTTTGACTTGTACTCCATGCTAACATTCAGGACCTTCATTCTACCAGTATATGTTTGAGTACTTTGCTCTGAGTATAAAATTTTAACTACTCAAAATAATTTGTGCCTAGGTTGAATACGAAGCATGACTCTCCTATCACTTCGGCAAGCTGTACATTCACCTTTCTTTGCAGAGGACTTCAAAGATCTGGACAAGAGTTTCCTACCACTGGATATGTTGCGTAAGCAGGCGATGAGCTGACAAGCTGCCCACACCTTGGGGAGGCTGTAATATAGAAAGATACAACACTTTTTGAGGGAGAAGAAGAGGTAAAAGAGCTATGAGAAAGTAATCCTCAAGTTGAGGAAGGAAAATGTGGCATTGATCAGCCCCTCCCACTGTGATTAAGCAGTTGAATGAAACTCTTAAGGAGGAATATGCCAGACTAAAGACTCGATGTGATGAACTTGAGGATTAACTTTGCGGGAGCAGATGGCTACCATTAAAAATTCCAAGGAATTCCCAGGTGTGTTGTCTCAGAGTGTTGCGTAGAAGGTCACTCTCTAGCAGAAATTCAAGAACGGTATCATGACCCGGCCCGGGCCTTAAAATTAACCAAGATGGAAACAAACGATCAGACGGTTGGCACTAAATTTTCTATATTTATTTACTATTCAACAAATGAAAGAGTCACTAACCAAATTAAATTAAAGCACTATATTTAAATGTATCTCGTTACTAATTATCTGCGTCTTCTATAAACATTATCCCTTCTATCACTCACCTTTTAATCACTTAATTAACATGAAAAGTTAGTTTAAAATAACAATGAATTAAACAAGTAAGTTAATATTCATACTCATAAACTACAATAATACAAGAAAAATGAAAAATAATATGCATGTCAGTTATATGTTTAATAAATCAATATAAATATTTGATGTTATTTAAACAATCTTATAATATTAATAGCATATCAAAATCATTATGTATTCATACAACCGTCACAAAAGCAATGTATAAAAATTTATATTAATTAAGATAATTCAATATCAACATCTTTTTCCATTTACGTGCACGGGTAGATTAGCATTCCCCTGCTAGTACCGTAAAAGAGTGATTTTATCATAGTCAGTCATGTATATACAAACAATCAATATATAATATATCATTCATGTGTTCATCACATTCAATTCAAAATACTATACATAACATAAGCTAATGCATGAAAGTGAGTAGTTATATACATTCATAGCAATGTGACCAATAAAGGAAAGCACGCAAAAATCAAAAATAAAGCTCGTACAAGTATCATTATCTATTAATGCAAAATAGTGGAGAAAAATCAAAATATTACCAGAGATTAAAAGTATAGGTAATCACCTCAAGGACGATTAATTTGTTATTTGATTCGTCTTGACGTCAACTCTTCTAAAATTGAAAGCCTAAAATAAATATAGTATATTAAAATTTAATTTATTTATTATATTAGTAATAATTTTTTATTATTTCAAGCTTATTTTTGTTATTCAATAATATATATAATCACTTAATAAAGAAAAATGCTCTATCTCTTTCAGTCAATGTCGCACAAAGGACTCTTCTTCGATGGTCTGCTAAGGCACGCGGGGCTCGACTGCTCAGATTCGAGCATCTACACTGGCCTCCTCCACTTGACACTGACACTGTGGTTGTTGTTCTTCTCCTCCTCCTCACGCAAGTCTCCTCTCCTCTACACGCACGCAAGCTCCTCCCTCTCGTCTTCCTTAACCACAGACAAGCCGCTCGCCTCAAAAAGTAAGTCCTTCGACAATTTATAGGACAAATTTCACCTCCCTGGCTTTCCAACTCCTCGGCTCATCTCGCCTATGTTTGACTCTTCACTTCCTCTTCCGGCTCTTTTCCGGCTCTTCATTTTCGACTCTTCACTTCCTCTTCCGGCTCTTCATTTTCTCTCTCTCTCTCTCTCTCTTGGCTCTTAGATTCTTCTCCACGGTAACAGGAACGGAATGTTACAAATAGTGTCCACTATTGCCTGGAGCACCTGACAAAAAATAATATACTCCCTTCAGAATGGGCAAGTATAGAGAATTTTAAACTCCTTATTGAATCTAAGGTAGAGAGTGAAAGCGAAGAAAGGAGCGAAGGGTATGAATGCATCATAAGAACTATTTAATGAACACCTCTCCGCCCTCCCATAAATTTTTTTTACTTTTAATGAATAAAAATATGTTCGTATTGTTAGACTTTTTTATTTTCATACAAATTGTTTGTCTTTCTTCAACAAAAATGTTTGAAAAATTCTTATGTGAGCTAAATATTAGTATGAATAGCATTTGTCTATATGAAAACTTTGAACTTTAAATGTGGAACTTACCTTGTAGCTTTGTTGAGGCAATTGTAAAGTACCTTGGACATTCGAGCATGCAAATTCAAATAGAAAGTTTGTATCAGGTTTGGGCTTATAAAAACGAGAGAAAAGAAAGTACCTGATTGGCCTCTTGTCGAGATAGCGAAAGTGTCGATATATCATATCAAATCATATAATTATCAACCCGAATCACATGAAAGATTAGTATTTTGAAACTTGTCGAACAGATGTCATTGTCAAGTTTGAGAATAAGTTCTTCGTAAGGCATATGTCTATGTCTCAGCTAGTAGAATTTCTTCCAAAGTTATAAACCCAACTCAAGTCATACAATACTCATACCCCATATGTTCTTTTAATTAAGTCGTCGTATTTGATGGGTCGTGTCTTCCTTCAGACTTATTGAGCATATATTATCATTGTCTTCATAGAGATAATCGTTTAGACTCCCCGTTGAGATGACTCACGCAATACTCATTGTGAATATTGTTGCAAATGGAAGAGCCTAGCCTCCAAGGCTTGACATGTGTTTCGTGAGCAAAAGATAGAAGGGTTTTAATTATAATTGAATGAATACTCTTGTATGATGTCATTTTAACAAAATTGAAGTTATGGACATTAGAGTTTTTAGGTCGAACGATCATTGCTTAGGCAATTTGCTTGTTGTAGCCCAATATGTGTGTGTGATTATAATTACATGTAAGATCATGTGAGTGTCCATTGGCTGAGCTCTTTGGGTGTAGTATATAATCATGATGATACTTGGCTAACATGATAAGTATGTCCTGGATGTCGATAATGCCGGTTAAAAATGCCAACAAATGTTAGTCATAATGCTCACATATCTACAAAAGATAATGTTTCAAAATGTGATCGGCTGAGGATCCAATGCCATTAATGTGGCATTCAATGCTCCCACCGATTCCCTTATCTTGTCTTGCTATAAACAAGAGGGGTCCCTATCTGCTCTAAGCAAAGAATCTGGGATAAGGTTGATAATAACAAAAGGAAGATACTCGTGAGTTCATAGTGGGGAAGTCGGGGAGGAAGCAAGGACTAGACGAATGGCGCTTACTAATCTCCTTAAGGCCATTAAACATTTTGTTTGATGGTATCTAGAAGTGCAAACTTCTTGTTCATTGGCTTCGAAGGTTGACTTGCCCATATTTTTGAAGCTAGTGACTTGGAGTTTGCTCAACACTCGAGGGATCCTAGGAAAGGATTCATCTAAATCGTTTTGATTTGGCGACTCTCCCTTCTTAAGTGTTCCTTCCAAAGTGGTGGGGCCCATGTTAACAGTTCCAGCATAGACAAAAAGCGAATAAATGGTAAGCAACGATGTTGCATGCCACCAACTCGTTTGTTTGTGAACTACTATTGCATGAGCTTCCGCAAGTGGTCGCCACTATGGTCAAGCGATCAAGAAGATGGCTAAGCTACCAATTGCCTTTGTCCACCATGTGA